TGTAAGGCAAGGTAAGAGCTTCAAGTTTATCTAAAAATTTACTACGTTTAATAGATGAGATAATCTATCCGAGCTTCTGAAAAAAGTATTGTAAAACGTATAAAAAATTTTCTTTAATAATTGTATAACAATTGGATCGTCATTTCCATATTTGGGATGTTCTCTCCTGTTGTTATTTCGCGCTTATACGGTGTGAGACCGGAAACGTGACCTGAAGCAGGCACGTGCCTCGTGACCCCGGTTGTTTCTAAATTTGGAATTCCTGACCGATAATCGCAGAAATGCCATTTCTGGCAGAAATGGTAGAAATGGTAAAAATGGCAGAAATCGTAGAAACGGCAATTCTTGGGGAAATGGTATTTTTGTCAATAAAGACATTTTTGGGTTTTATGTCAATAAGGGCATTTATAGGTTTATTGGCATTTTTGATAATAATGGTATTTTTGGGATTCACAGTAGAATAGGTAGTTTTCGTAGACAAAATTGCTATTATAAAATAAAGGCCTTTTGGCTCTTGGGAAGAATAACTCCCACCTTTGCTTTATTAAAAAAATCATTCATACCATATAATTACTTTGATACATGATACTACCCTTATTAATAAAACCATACACAACGAAAACTTGACTAATTACTCTTAATACAAGTTATACGCTTTTACGTTTTTGCAAACCGCACCTAACATTTAAGATATAAAGATACATCTTCATTACGAACCCTGCCTCAACAGTGTTAAACTGTAGTTCTGTCCCAACTAAAACTATACCACTTGACTAAATCTAACATGCCTCTTTCAAACCCAAGATAACCAAGGTTGAAATTACACGATCCTAATTTTGGTTTAGTGACAGACTCACCGAATTCAGGTCTGACATTTTGGTGGTGAACCATGAGATATGAAATTACCGGCTACCCCCCTGATTCAAGAATTTTCAAGTAAAGCCAAAGAATTGTAAGAAGCATACTCCTCATATTTTTTTTTGAAAAAGATGAATAAAGACCAATTGAAAGAACTCCTGGATGGGATAACGTATTCCTTTGCTGAAGTTGCCAACACCATTGCAAATGTCAGAAGAGAACCTGAAGATAGAAAAGAATTAACTCATATAAAGATGGACTCCTTTCACAGAAGCAACGATGAGGACCCAATAGAATGGTTGGAAGCATTCGAAAGAGCTGCTGCAGCGAATAATTGGATGGAAAGAAGAATGTTAAAGATTGCCATGGGTTACTTGAGGGACCTCGCCGCAGATTGGTATAAAGGAAAGAAGGATGACCTGACGGAATGGAAGAATGATGGTGACGTAGAATCTAGTTTCTACCACAACTTCATCAAATTTTTTGCAACACCAGAAAGACGTCACAGGTGGCAAATCGAACTTCAGGAGCTCAAACAACAAAAGCATGAGAAGGTCGACACATATGCCACCAAGTTCAAAAGGTTGTTAAAAAAGGTTAACCCAAATGATGAAATCCCTGACCTGTATATTATTAGAATGTTTCTTTCAGGACTACAAGGGAAAGCCGCTACTTTCGTAACCGTAGCAGAGCCAAAAACCTTAACGAAGCTATCGCAAAGGCGCAGCAAGCTGAAGCAGGAGAATATTACAGCAGGCAAACCCTGAAAAAAGCTACTAGAAAAAAGATAGAGGAAGAATTAGGGAATTTGTCACAAAAGATAGAACAAATTGCCCTAAATTACGCGGCATTAACCACTAAACAACCCCAGGGAACTTTTGACAACGATCGACGCTGGGGCTCTGTGATGAAAAACAAAAGAGTTACCGACCCAAAAAATCACGAAGAAATGGAAACTGAGAAACAAGAAAAGATATAGTTTGCTTTAAGTGTGGGGAAACAGGCCATATTGCTCGTCATTGCCTTTCAGAAAGAGACCTAAGAAGGCACCCCGAAGAACGTCAAGCCACGAATTATGTGGGGTGGTTCAACCATTACAATAGTGATGATGAAGGCTGGGCCGAAAATGAGGTTTATACTCTTGGAGAAAAGCGACCCCAACCATACTCCAGAAACAACCACTGGGAGAAAAAAGTCCAAACCCAACTCAGAGTAACCTAGGAAGACCGATTGAGACCCTGAAATGACCCACCGGTAAACCTGGGAGAAGAATCTGAGTTAATGGATGAAGACGTATATTTTCCCGCGAAGAAACCAAGAAGAAAAAGGGACCTGTCAATCGTCGACAAATTAATCTTCTACAATGTAGCAGAAGACATTTTGGCCATGCCGGCAAGTGCTACTATAGGGCAAATGCTTCAATACCCGAACCAATGATGGAATTTGGTTAAAATTCTATATTAACCTCAATCTCAAATTCAAGAAAACCCACCCCAAGAGGCTACATATGTAAAACTGGCTGAGTCGAGATGAACCACCACAGCACATTGCTATGTATGAATTAGAGGAAATTCCATAATAGCTATATTAGACTCCGGAGCCACTGTCAGTATAATGACGAAGAGATTAATGGACAAATTAGGGTTAAAGATTCAAGAAAAGTTGACTATGGTTGTTGTCACTGCCACCGGAGCAAAAACACGGGCCTTGGGCAGAATTAACGACGTAGGCATAGTCATACAAGATGCTTTAATACCAAGCATCTTCCAAGTTATAGAATCATCAGACGAAACATTGCTGTTAGGCACTAATTGGTTCTTGAAAGCCCAAGCCCGACTTCATTTCAACAAAAAACGGTTGTACTTTAAACACCGGGGTCGAATTGTTAAAGTACCCATTTTCAACACCGGCAATAACGACCTTAAGCTTCCGAAACCCGAGCCTGTAGATTTAAGCAGTAATAGTGATGATACCTTCGATGAATTCACCTACAAAAACGAATTGATAGATGAAATCGAAGGATATCATACCAAAGAATCAGCCTCAGAAGAACTTGGGTTCTATAATAATCCTTGAGTCGAAGCTGGAAACCCTGCTATTTACTTGACCGCAATAGAAGAAGCACCTAAACTGGAAGAAGCTTCAAAATGAACTATTGACGAACTGCTAGAAGAATTTATCCAAGAAGAAAACTTGGATAACCAACAACAGGACCAGGCGAGGCAATTTTTTCACGAAGAAAGAAGCCTTTTCACCTGTGATACGAAAGAATTAGGTGAAACGTCCATTTTAACACATAAAATCGACACCGATAAGGCCAGACCTATGAAGCAAAACCCGTACTGCATCGCTCCAAACGAACAAGAGTTCATTGAAAAAAATTGAAAGACATGCAAGAATGAGGGTTGATACAACACTCTAATAGCCCCTGGGCTCTTCAGTCATCGTTGTACCGAAAAAGGGTGGAAAACTTCGCTTTTGCGTTGATTACCGTAAGCTAAATGCGGTAACCTGAAAAGATGCCTACTTGCTACCTCACATCAACGATCTTTTAAAAGAATTTTGGGACACAAGATGGTTTTCTAGCCTGGACCTAAAAAGCTGCTATTGGCAAGTAAAGATGGATAACCATGATAAAGAGAAAACCACATTCATAACCAAGACCGGCCTTTTTGAGTTCAACGTCATACCGTTTGGGCTTTGCAATGCCCCCGCCACCTTCCAAAGACTAATGGATAAGGTGCTTTCAGAGTACCTAGAGAAGTTCGCTGTAGTCTACATCGATGATATCAACGTATACTCCAAGATGTTTTCGGAACATCTAGAGCATCTGAGGAAGATATTTCAGAAGTTGAAAGAAGCCAGGTTAAAGATTAACATGGATAAATGTATCTTCTTCCGCTACGAAATACATTTCCTGGGCCATGTGGTTGAAAGAAAAAGAATATAACCTGATAAAGCAAAAATTGAAAAGGTACAAACCTTTTCTACTCTGAAAACCATACGACAATTACGGCCGTTCATAGGTCTGGCATCATATTACTAAAGGTTCATCAAAGAGTTTGCCGCCACCACCCGACCTTTATACCAATTATTGCAAAAGAACGTCCTATATGAGTGGGGTCAAGATCAAAGCAAGGCTTTTGAGGCTCTAAAAGTGCATCTAACCACCGCCCCAATACTACGATATCCTGATTTCAACTGCACTTTCTATCTACATACCGATGCATCTGGAACCGGGTTGGGCACAGTTTTAACCCAGAAAGAAGATGACAGAAAGGAGTATGTGATTTCCTACGCGAGTTGAAGCCTGTCAAGAGCTGAAAGAAACTACTTCACAACCGAACAAGAATGTTTGGCCGTGGTATGGACAGTAGAGCACTACCACCACTACTTCGGGTTCAAGCTGTTTGTGGTAGTAACCGACCATTCAGCCCTGAAGTGGTTGCAGACCTCCAAACTTAAGGAAAGAAGAGCCTGGTGGATTCTTCGACTTGAGTCCTACAACTTCAAAATCGAGTATCGATCTGGAAGAATCCATTGTAATGCTGACGCCCTATCTCGAATACCAGTTACTAAAGAAGAAGAAGAAGGATTAATCCACAAAAAATTCGATGAAATGCACATTGCCGAAATACAAACCTGTCTGGAATGGCTCAAAGCACTCGCCGGGTTAGAACAACCACCTCAAGAAACCAGCGAGGTTGTAGAAGTCTATCAATTAGGGTCCATAGACGACTCCATGAATTGGGATGATGATAACGATGAAATGGAGTGGGAAGACTACTATGAATTCTCTGATGAAGAGATAGAAGCTCCTGTCCAACCCTACGACCCATACCGGGATGCTGAGGCTTGGTGGAACAAAGAAGAGTATTCTGACTGGGATAAAAAACTAACCAATAAAGAAAGAGGGTACCAGGAATTGGTCCAAGATCTGTACGACAAATCACGAGGAATCGAAGCCCCATTTACCCACCCCGACGAATATGTAAGGTGGAAAGAGTTGTTGGAACCCCCAAGTTTCGAAGAAACATATATAATCAATGACCATTAGGAAATTTTGTCTGAAGAAAAATTCCTCCTAGCCACCTCGGGTGACCATAGGACCGGTGGATGGTACAAAAAAGACAAATACGAAATTTTCATCATTGTCCCAATAGACGAAATGGAAATCAACGAGGCTGAAGCACTAAATCTTGATAATCCCCACCACGAAAGGCCTAACCCTGAAAACCTTACTAAAGGTGAATCTAGCAACGCTGAATATACTCCAAGGCCCAACCCACCTGCTTTCTTCGACCTGTACGATGAAGAAGCTTGGCCTGGCACGACTGGACTCTGGTATAAACTAATCATCCAAGACATACTTCTGGAACCAAAATTGGGATACAATATCCCCAATACAGATGAAAAAAATGATGACCCTTCTAAGGCCAAGCCCAGCGAAGACTATGCTATCACCAAAACCAACAGCTCTAGTATCTTCTCTAGAAAGGTCAAAATGGAAGATATTTTGGTGGCCCGTAAAAGTGAAGAAAAATAATAATAATATATCATGATAATAATCCGAAACAATAATTAGGAAGAAAATAGATTAGATGTATAAATAGATAGATAGATAAAAAAAACAAAAACAAAAAAACTTACAAATCGAATATTTTTGACAGACCTAACAATACCTGGCTAGTTAGAATGAGATGGAGTGGGAAGTGGGTCTCCATCTAATTAAAAATGAAAATATGAGTAAAATTAGTATAAACAAAAATCAGTAGAGTAGACTAACAACTTAGCAGAAAACACTCACCAAGGTCATCAAAGCCTCTAACGCCGCCAAACCTCCGAAATCCGACATTAAAATCAATCCTACCCAGGTTGTCAGTGTTCTGGCCAAGACAAGTGATCTCAACGAATCAAGATCTTGAAAATTACGATAGAAGACTTCCAGTACGATCGACTGAAGAAGTATCTGCAACATCAATACATCTCTCCAGGCTTAAATTCGTCTAAGCGACAAAAATTGATTAAACAAAGTGAAACGGTAAAGCTTAAGGATGAGATACTGTACAAGAAAAGTAAGCAAAGCCCAGACAGATTGGTCTGAATTGCCCGAAAATCAGAAGTCAACCCCATACTGTTCTTGACCCACACCCACTTGTTAGGGGGCCATTTTAACGACCGAAAGATGTTTGAGAAAATACGAGAAGTATATTTTTGGCTGCGGTAATTCGAGAACATTAGCAACTACGTCAAGACTTGCGATCAATGTTAAAAATGAGGAAAAGTAGGCTACAAGGACCCTTGCACCCAATACCCATCACAGCCCCTTTCACCAGGTTGGGATCGATATAGTAGGCTCTTTGCCAATTACCCCACAAAACCACCCTATATCATCATAGCCACTGACTACATGATGAAGTGGCCCGAAGCACAAGCCCTCGAATCGGCTAATGCTCAGTCTGTAGCTGATTTTGTCTTTAATGAAATAATATGCCGCCATGGATGTCCAGAAAAGATATTATCGGATCGAGACAAGCACTTTTTGAATCACTTAGTGGACGGATTGTTAAAGAAATTCAGAATTAGGTACCAGAAATTGACACCGTACCACCTTCAAACCAATAGACTGGTCGAGAGGTTCAACAACATCAGCAAAAATATATATACGTAAACTTTTGTAAGTTTTTACGGTGCGTAAAAAAATTGTAAACCTATGTAAAATTTAGCGTAAAACTACGTAAATCTTATAGTGCGTAAGAAAATTGTAAATTTACATAAAAATTTTACATTAGTTTACGTAAATCTTACGCACCGTAAAAACTTACGAAAATTTATGGAAGTATATAAAAATTTATAAATCCTAAAATTTAAATCTCAA